CCAAATGAATTAATATTCAGCTAATATTAATCTGCACCAACTAATTGGCTGATGGCTCTCTCGTTTTTATTCTATTTTTGTCTTTTGTCTTCATTCTTCCTTTGTTTTCTATCTTTGGATAGATCTGGCCTTTTCTCCCTGTCCCTCTCTCCCTCTCTCCTCTCCTCCATCCTGAATAAGTTCATTATTATGAGATGAGTTGTCTTTCTCTTTATCTGCACATGTTAATTACTTATTACACACTTCTGTTGCATATTCTGTCCAGTCAACCAAAAAACAAGGAAGATGCAATAGAGTTGAAGTTGAATCAAAGCCAAAAACCACCATTGCCTTTAGTTTTTGACTTAAGTTTCAAATGATTTCAAAGTTTGATTTTTTGCAATTTGTTTGTTATACCTGCATCAGTTCTGCATTGGAGGATCTCCGTATGCGTTTGGATAGAGAGCACTGTAGCCTGGTAGGCAGATCTGGTCCTCTGTTGCCATCAGATCCGGCTACCAGGCTTAGCGGGTGTTGTTGTTGACAGTATTCTGAAGGAGCTTATGCAGTGGAATGTGGCTGAGCAGTAGCGAACGAGTCGGGCCTTCAGAAACGTAATGCCTTATCGCTTTTATCTGCCTCGTAGGCCCTCAAACGGAAGCCCGACTTGTTCTTGTCGGAGAGTCTTGATGTGAAGGCAGTTTTCCACTGCGGTAAGTCGGCACCGGACTCTTTCAGGCACGCCTCCCCGTGCAGAGATCCACTCGGCACATGTCGACATGACAATGATTTCCATCTTCTTCTCCAAACTTTAGGAATTCTGTCTCTAAAGTTTCCAGAGGCCCCAACGGTCAAGTCAACATGTCTGTTCTTTGTAAGCATCACATGCGCATAAATACACACTGCTAAATGTCTACAGTTTGTCTTTAAAATGTCTGAAATGTTTGGTTTTTTTGGGGGGGGTTTGGTAGACGGAGCTGCTGCCGCACTGCTCAGACGTCCCTCCGTTAGCCAGGGTGGTACAGGAGGACGGCAAGCTTTTGGTGCAAGCTGTGCTAGAGGTAAGTAACACTACCTTACCTCTTTTCTTTCAACCTTTTTAAGATTTCAGAACCTAGATGTGTGTTTGAACGCAGCCCCATTTGTTTATGTTCCCTAAGTAGAATAAAATTCAGTCAAACATCTACAGGTATGTCCATCCCCGAGAACATTGGTAACCAAACCGCATCATGAAGACCAAGGGGTGCAGCAGACAGGCAGGGGAAAAAGTTAGGAAGACGCTCAAAGCAGGGATTTGGTTATTTAACGACAAACTTGAACGATCTCCCAAAGCTTTGAACATCAAAGAGTTCATCCATCAACTGCAAACGGACATGAATCTAAATCAGAGAAAACGTCAAGAAGCATGCGGCTAATATGAAAATGCTAAATGCAAAGTGTGAAGCATGGCAGTGGCAGCGTCATGCAGTGGGGAGGCTTTGCTTTTTAAACATTTTAATTTGCATAAATGTTAAAAACCAGGGTGTCTTTTTTCCTCCTCTTCCAGGGCATTGGGGGCGGAGCTTCCCGGAGTCTGATGGACCAGTTTGCAGAAGTGTTGTTCAGTCTCAATAAGCACTGCTTCTCTCTGCTCGCCGTGTGGCTGAAAGAGGCACTGCAACCCCCGGGCTTCCCTTCGTCCCGCATCACCACTGAACAAAAAGACAACTTCTCACAGCAGATACTGAGGTATCAACCACTGGATTAGAAATTAAGATTAGAGAACATAGAGGAATACTTCTACTCACTGTTTTTCTTTGTCCCCCCCCTCTTTTGAAAAGCAGAGAGCGGGTAAACAAGCGGAGGGTGAAGGACATAGTGAAAGAGTTCACACTGCTATGCAGAGGCCTGCACGGTACAGAGTACGCTGCTGAATACTGAATCACTGCCCCTCCACCTCCCGGCGAACGGTAACCTTCGTCCTCAGCGCAAATATCTGGACGCCACAGCAACAAAGCTCTTCAAGCCCATAAGGAAATCAAGAAAAGATTGTAACGATAATCCATCCAGACACAGAACCCAGCACAGAGCTGCCATCGGATCAGCAAACTTCAACTCCCAGCAGGCCTCAGAGGAGGCCTCCTCTTTGCTGCATCGATTTCTTTCTCGCCGCTTTAAGATTGATTGCTTCTGTCCCCTCTCTTTGCTCCTTTAAAGGTCATTGTGTTGGACGGGTTTGGAGCGGCTCACCAGCCCGCTGCCTCCTCCCATCTTTGGCTTGTTCTGCCTTTCTGGATCTTCCTGTGGTTCCCTACGTTCGTTTGCTGGTTATTAGCATCTATATAAAATGGTAGTGGTATCGTACGTAGCTACTTGACATTATTTTTCAAAGTAAACCGACTTAATTCTATAAATGTCTATGTAAATACAAATAGATGGTTCCAGTCCTGCTGCTGCTAATAGGATAAAAAAGGAGCGATTCTGCAGGAAGTTCATCCGGTGTTTGCTCCAGGCCTCTGTGATCTCTGCATTTGCCAAATTATAATAATTATTTTGTGACTTTCTGTTTTATTAAAAGCTTTTTAAGGGGTGTGAGTAGGGAAGAGAAAAAGCTGAAAACCACAATACTTGGACTTTATACAGTCAACAAGCTCTCTGTCTGAGAGGCTGTACCTCATGTATGTATAATCCCACCCGGTCCAACTGCAGTCTCCTCTTTTACCCTGAAGTAAAGCGGCGAGAACAACGGCGACCGGCGCCATGATGGAAGCTGCTAAGAAGGGAACTAGGCATTTAAGACAAGGGGCTGCTTAGTCGCTGTAATAGTGCAGAAATATTAATCTAAGTTGTGCATATTAACAGTTACTGCTGAACACTTGCGTATTTGAGTGTACGGGTGTCCTCATATCTGTATGTACGAAGGTTTTGCACATGTATCTTTTTTCAGCACTTATGTTGGACCTATGGTACAAATGCATCATTTCTGTTCTTCAAAGAGCCCATTTTCTTCTTCTTCTTCTTCTTCACACCATGCTCACTCAGGCACGCTCCTCAGAGAGACTGACCTAGAGCATCCAGCATGTCACGGACTGCGCTGCTCCTCGGCAGCCATCCTTTATCCACGTCGCCTCATTGTCAAACCCCACCCATCCATCCACGTCTCTCACCAAGCACTGCTATTAACAAACGCTTGTGATCAAGCTACCCAGAATCCTCTGGGTCACTGCCTTGGAAAGGATCAGAGGACCGGGCGCCGTATCCCTGACGGAGGGAGTTTCTCCACGCCGACATTCTGTGCTCATCCTTTTCCGCCTGTGATGCTACGGCTGTCATTTACACTATCCTGTGAAGCGGCAGCACTCGGCATCCGAATCGTACCTTGTGATAAAACTTTTATCTCAGTATATTCCTTCTGTCTTATCCGAGGTGCCTGCAGACATGTAGCATGTATGTGTTTCGGGGTGGGGGAGGGGGGTGTTGGGGCTAATTTATGAGCTGAAGGTTGATCTGCAGCGATGGACGAAGACGGAGACCCAAGGCAGGAATCACTTTTGATGCAAGCTGCTTTGCTTTAGTCCTACTGCACTACGAACGTCTTGCTGTTCATCACTGATCCCTGGTTTGTGTTCTCCTCTTAGTCCAAAGTGAGAGGAGGAGAACTCTCCACAGTTTGGAGTCGTAGGCGGATGAGGGGAGGAAGGAATGAGATGTACAGTGGTCTTTTTGTACCTTGGCTTTAATTTATTAAATATATCTGAGACTGCAGCTATTGACGTCTTGGGTTTGTGGGTGTTTTCTTTTTTTTCTGTTAAAGATCTATTTATTCTGCAGCTCAGTTAAGTAGACAGATCTTGTTTAAGCTTGATAAACTCCTCCTTATTCAACTTAACTACATTTTTAGTTTAACAGGGCTTTCTAATAAGCTTTAATATTTATACATGCTAAAGGGATTTATCCATAAGGTGCGTTCCAATTAGGCAGAGTCAAAACACAGTCTAGTTTATTTATATTGGAGTTTTTTTATGGCTGGATTTAATAAAACATTTATAAAGAATAACCCAAAGCAATCCCTAATCAGTGATCTTTTTATTATGCTTAAACAGTTTGCCCTGCTCCTCTTTATTAACCCCCCCCTAATGGTTCAACTGTATCCAATTTTTCTTTTATTATTAAATCCATGCAGTACTTTCACGTTAGTCTCAAATATGCTGTAGTCCTACAGGGGGCAGTTTAACAGATTTAAAGTCAGAATTTGATTAGAATGATGCTAATAGAGGAGGAAAAAACAAGGAATGCACTAATTAAAGGATGTTCTCAATGCTGCTGATGCATTATGTGTCTCCAGAGGGAGCTGCGTTATGTTGGAGGGTAGTTTACTTGATTAGATGATATTTTACAACAAAATAGCATAAAAACTGAAAAGAGGACCATGATGTGTTTTAAAGGCTAAAAAACTAGGAACTCAGGAACTTTATTGATCTCACACTGGAGAAATTTACCTCTGCTTTTATCCCATTCCCTTGGGGAGCAGCGGGCTGCCATTGTGCGCCGCCCTGGGAGCAGAGTGGTGTTAAATTCAGTTTATTTCTATAGCGCCAATTCACAACACATCTCTTTCCAGTTCACCAGATCATTCAGTCAGATTTATTCAAAGTTTTCTATCTAAGGAAAACCAGTTGATTGCATCGACTCATTGACTCGAATTGTAGCGAAGGTGGAGAGAAAAAACTCCCTTTTAACAGGAAGAAACCTCCAGCAGAACCAGGCTCAGTGCAGGCTGTGGGGATCGAACCGAGTATTTCCAACCTTCTCAGAGCACAAGCGCACTACTCTAACCACCAGGCCATTTAAATTTAATTAAAACTTTAATTTAAAAAATAAGGTATAACGTTAAAAAAGAAAATAAAATTAAAATGGATTTTTAATTTGAAATATTCAAAAACAGCTTAGGTGTTAACGTGATGCATTCAAAGTCATCCCAAACTGTCCGACATCCCAGGATCTCCTTTTCCCACCCAGCTGCGCATGCGCAGTGCGCTCAGAGCGGCGCACATGTGTCGAGCTCCGTCCCTCCTGGCAGTCTGCAGACCACTTCCACTCCTTCTCCAGGACAGCGGGTCTCTCCAGCTGTAATCTCAGCGTTTGGTCCTGATTTATCGAGGCTGCTGCAGGTAAGTTATGTTCCTCCAGCCCTCTGATCAGGTAGCTTTCACACTGCAGCCCTGGGAGAGGTTAGCCTGTTTCCCTCGATCCATCTTGAAGTCACTTTTATGTTCATTTAAATTGTTGCAACTCGCAGTTATTTTAAAGTTTGGATCACAGGGCTGCAGTTTGCTGCAGGGTTAGTTAGAAGCATCCAGAGAGTCGCTCTTAGTTGCATCAGAGCTTTAATGAGAGGAAAGTTAAAGTCATTAAATCAAAAGGAAACAAAATACACATGATGGCGCACATGACAATATTTTTATAGTTCTCTATCAAACTTAAGCGCTTAGATTTGTAAGAAAAGATGTTGGCCAAACTTTCCTTCCTTATTTAAAACTCATGTCTGTTTTTAGTCTTCACTCAGTGACGTCATCAGGGTTCAGTGTGTTTACCATCATCATCATCACTTTATCCTGTTTACTGATCATAGAGTGTTTTATATCTCTGGATGTTTGTTTTTGCTTTCTTTGTAAATAATGAATTTGAGACCTGTTCAATCCAGGGGCGGATTTAGGAAATTTGGGGCCCTGGGCAAAGACAGGCAGGGGGCCCGCTGAATGGAGAAGACAGCACATAAAACAGAGCCATTCTACAGATAGAGAAATGTTAATAATTGTCCCTCTCTTCTTGTCCCTCTCTTCTTGTTTTCCTCTCTATGTTTTGTACTCAGCTGACTTTTCATGCTGTCTCTAAAGGAATGAAAGATTTTTTCCAAGCACTAAGCTCAC